TTTTGTTGTTGTTGTAACTAACATAGACATCCCTGTCCATCCGGACTAAACTGGGAGCAGGAATTTTAATAGGTAGTGAATGGGGCTAGTGTAATATTTACCACATCATCCTTCAAGTACCAGTACAACTACTACCACGACCACCACCACAGTAGCTAAAATAATGTCACTGCTATCTGTTTTACCATCGGAGTAGACAGGGAGTCGTGAGCCAGAAGATTAGGCGCCGCATGGCTAGTGCTGTCGCCACGGACTGGTCAGGTTTGGATGTATAATTTCGCTCCCCGACAGAAGAACGCCATAACCTTACGGGCGGTCTTCACATGAGAGCACTACGATGTAACCGCCCAACCACTACTACTACTGCTGCTGCTGCTTTGAGTGTGTAAAGCAATTACTGTGACTTAAAGCTCTTCCAGTAAACAGTCTGCCCCCCCCCCCCTTTCCCCAAATTCACCGACTACTCTGTCCCTTATCGAAGCAGTTTGGAGAAAAAAAAACACACAATCAAGCAATTAAAACAGGAAAAATACACCATAATTATGAAAATGAACGCTATGTTAAACAGCACAGCTTAAAATTCCAACGCAGATTAAATAATTAAATCTAAATGAAAATAAATGGAAAGCTATGAAATTTCAACGTAACCATGCAATCGAAAAGTTTAAAATGAAATTATAAGTATGTGAAATGGTCAAATTTAATTATTAACTGGTTTACCCACATACCTGTCTTTTATTTTTATTTTTTTTAATATCATTAAGGGCCACATGGCTAGTGCTGTCGCCACGACAGTGCAGGTGAGGATTTTTTTTGGGCCCTGAGTAAAAAAAAAAGCCTCTGCGGATTCGAACCCTGGTTTCCCGGACAGGAGCCCAGTGTTCTAACCATTCGACCAAGCAGCCACTCCATCAGAACAACGAAAAGAGAACATAACTATTTGAGATGTGTGTCCCTTCTGCAGTGTCCCGATTATAATACAACTCAAAACAGCAGGCAATTGTTTTCTCATAGACAGATATTCCAGATATATTAATGAAACGGCACAACAAATAAAATCGCACGTGTCTAACACGGTTAATGTCGCAGTCAATGTCTGCGCAGATGTCGAGATAGTCCTTGATCCCCCCCCCCCCCCCCCCCCCCGTTTTCCCCTACCAATCCATCGGCTACTTTTCAACTCATCGAAGGATGTTTGAAAAAACAGAAAATAGAAATAGTGTCTAATATAGTTATTGTGGCAATCACTGCCTGCACAGATATAGATATAGTCTTGTTTGCTGTACCACGACCTACTCTATGTATTAGAGAAGGCGTTGGCTGCACGTATTTCGCCGGCGAATGGTGGAAGTCTTGCGTTCTGACTACGGCGCATGCGCATTTACTAACATGGCTATAATTAGATGTCACTAAAAATGTAAATATTAGTTTCGAATATTTTTGCTTAAATTGTCGCAAACTATCTCTAACAATGATAGGTTGAATTTCAAACCATAATGGGTGAACATCCGGTATCAAAACAAACATATCCTGAAAATTTCAGCTAAATCGGTTCAGTAGTTTCCGAATCTATAGGCTATAAACAAACACACAAACATTGATTTTTATATATATAGATATTTTATACACTATACACTTTTCGTATTCATATTCGGCCGAATAGTTGGTCCCGTTATTTGTATTCAGCCGAATAGTGAAAATCCCTATTCGGTTCAGCCCTAATTTCAATTGTTAATAGTTTTGAGGTTTCTTGTTTGTTGTGAGTGACAATGTATGGCACTAGTAGCATAGGATGGGAATGAATTTGCTTTGCATGGGATGTTTCTTTTTGCTGACCCACAGGGAGTGTCTTATGATGTAAGACATGATCTAGGTGTCTGATACTTGGTTTCCTTCACAGCTTCTGATGCTAATTTCCTCATCCAGTTTCCTCAACTTCGGTAAATGTTGCTCTCAGATATTTAAACTCAGATGCCTGTTTAAGGCCTTTGCTCTCTATTGCTAGCGGGCTGCGTGGTCTAGAGGCATGGTGTCCGCCTCCGGTGCTAGAGGTTCCGGGTTCAATCCCCTGAAAATGCTGGGATTTTTTCACGTGGACTTGGACTTCTAGTTATTACCCCGGTCCTGGGTAGTGAGATCGGACGCCTGTGTGCATTGTTGCGCAAGTAAAATATCCTTTGGCAGTGAGAAATCTAAAAGAGTTGCCTAACGGTGGTGCCCGGGAAAAAGTGTGGAGTTGAAAATCTAACCAAAGTATTTCAGGATCCTCGCCGGTGCTACAGAACCTGTGCACTGTGCTGAGCTTCTTCGGACTCAGACTTGTTAGAAGAAGAACGGAGCAATTATGGGTACTACCTGTGTGCCATGATGTTGATCCGTTGTTCAAACCTTTCTAATCTTTAGGATGTGCTTCTTTCTTTGTACTGACTTTGTTTCTGTCTACTCAGTGTTGATTTTCAGATAAGGCTACATTTTTTCCCCTTCATACATAGATGGTAAAAGTTGTTCCAATTGTATGTCTGTATCTGAACGCATCAAGGCATGGTCATCAACAAAAAATTATTCGTTGACCATACTAATATTTTCGTGTATGAACTTGGCATCCTTGCTAATGCTGTAAGTTTAGGTAATAAACAACAGTGATAGTAAGACGCATCCATGTCTTACTCCAGGAGATTCTGAGAACTGTTTAGGTTTAAATGTTCCCTGCTTTCTTTTAACTACACTTCTACACTCTCTATATAAATTTTTGCACACACTGGTGGACGGACAGACTTTCTACCCCACCAGGACATCACACAAGCGATAAACACCCGATGACACAATGTGCCACCATGTGAATGAAGATCACCGTGGATAGGTCCCAGAAACCGCGTTCAGCCATTAGGCCATATTTATGGCCTGGCTATATTGCGGCCCCCGCCAAGAGCCAGGGTGGAGCTTCAAATAACGAAAAATGTTATCCTAAAAATTTACGGTGCATGCGCTAAATGCAACGGACAATATGCGAGAAGACCAGAGGGTGGGTAGGCGGACCGACCTCATTAAGCCTTGCAGCCTCGAGGAGGAGCTCCCGCGCGGACACTCTCCCCAGAGCCTTGAGAAACGTCCGCGCACAGGTACCCCCTGCACACCGGCAGAAAGTTCTAGTTGTTTGCCCACCTCCGGACCTAAGTCATGTTCCATAAATTGAATACTGCATTCACATAAGCTTTACACCTCCGACTTACCTGTATGCGGATTGTTGGCATTTTACGACATTTGGTGGGGGGGGGGGGGGGATGTGTCTACCACCTCCACCCCCTCCTCCTTTTTTCTATCTCTCCACCCACCACCCCCTCCTCAAGTGTGGTGTCGGATCGAACACTATGATATCCGCAAGAGTAATAATAATAATAATTATTTTTTGTGCTTAAATTTAATCATATGTAATATTTATGAAAGCGGCTTGAGCCTTGTTTAATTGTGCCGTAGTGATTAATTATTATAATAATTATTATTATTACTACTTTTATTAGAATTTATACAATTATTATTACTGTGTGTGAATTGTAAATAATTAAAGTGATAAATTAGTAATGTATGAACAAATTCTTAAAAAAAGAAGGCGTCTACACATAGGGGAGGAGGAAATGGGAGGCCTCTATATACTAAAAATTATTGGACCACCCCCCGCCATAAACATTGATGGAGGGGGGGGGGAGCTCGAAGTACCTGAGCCCACAATTTCCAGCGCCTGGCTTTTTTAGTTCTAGGACCTACCTAAAGAAAAAGTAAAACTGAAGTAATGGAGGTCAGTAGAATTTCTAGTCTGCTACCGATAGGTTTGAATGGTACTAATCTAAAGCAAGTTAAAGAATTTAAATATATGTTAAGTATATTCTCGGACGACGGGAGAACATGTCGGGAAATAAAACAAAATGCGAACGAGCCAGTGCACTTATGTGCCAACAGACACCGTTATTAAGACATCCAAACATAAGTATGAGCGCCAAGAAACAGATTATAAACACCAACACTGTGCTACCAGTGCCAGACGGACATTATCAAAGGCTAATCTATGTACAATTAACACCTGCTAGATGCCTGAGAAAAGTCGCTGACTTAACAACAGTCAGAGGCAAAGCTAGAAATGATATTATCATACAGACTAGGAACAACACCATGCAGCGAATTCATTGAGAAACAGAAGATCAATGAAGCCAGAATAACAACCAGTGCAGGCGCTACACGTGAAAAGATTTTAATTGAAAGCAAGAGGCCGCCTTAGAAAAGATGGATTGATGACATTGAAGCTTCTACACTAACACGGAATGACAAAAGCCAGTGCTGCCCATAAAGCAACGCATCGAAAACTGATCCTCCCCCACAACGCTTAACGGCAGAAGTGGAAATTGATGATGATGATACCTATCTTCTCCGTCTTTTGTGTTTTTTGCCTGTATGCTGTATGTCTCCGCGTATTGACACTCTTTGTTTAATTGGAAACAAATTTACAGGTATTATTGGACGCTGATAAAAGATAAAAGATCTTAACCGTGATCGGTACATTACGTTTCCTGGCCTAGGCTCCACCCACTTACACACCAGGTCACTTTTCATTCATAATTCGTTAGATTGGTCAACTTTGCTGAATGTTACAGGGGTGTCCCAGTGTACTGTTTTGTTCGAAAAGCTTGCTGCATTCTTTTAGGCCTGTGATATCGCGAGTTGTTATTTCAGGATGTCAGCGCTTTTACCGGTCCCTAAACATGCAGAACTAGCCCTAACACAGCCCCCTCCCCCTTACGAGAGTGCTGCAGCCTACGTCCAACGCATTCTATTTCTCGAAATTAAAACGCAGAAAGCTTTTCGAGAAAACAGTAAACCGGGACACCCCTGTAACGTTGAGCAAAGTTCACGAGCCTGATCATGAACGAATCAAAAGTGACCTAGTGTATAAGTGGGCTGAAGCTGGGACCGATTTAGTAAGTTATTCCCCGTAATCTATATCTCTGCAGGTGAAGGTGAACTCTGTGCTGTGTTGCTGGATATGTACTGACTGCGCCGAAAACGCCATAGTGGACAATAACACGTTATGTAAAGAATGTCAGCTGGGCACCTGGCCAAACGCCAACAAGACAGGTTAGTTCATATTTTTTCCCCTGTGGGTTTCAGGACTTCATTTATGGTGTGTATGTATGTGTGTGTGTGTGTTTTTTTTTAAAGGAAAAAGAGGGGGGGGTAAAAAAAAGAGTTCATGTACGTTATGATCAACGAAATTCTTTAGGATATTTAAACCCACTGATTATCCTAGTCTGTTTGTTCACACATATCCGTTAACAATACAGGTAACTTCGCGCCGAAGGAATAACTATTACAAAAAACGACTACTGTTATTACTACAACTATTACTAATTAGAGATGCCGCAAAGACCACTACAGCCACTATTTATACAAATAATGTTGGTATAATCACTAAAATATTACGAAAATAAACTACAAAAAAAATTAACGCTATTAGTTTCATACTTATTATTACTGCTACTACCACTGTTACTTCTGCTGTTACTTTTATTACTACTACTACTACTACTACTACTACTTTTATTGCTACCCCACTGGTGTGAATAACTACCGTTGATACTATTACTTCCGTAACCACCACTTCTACTAGTACTACCACTACTACTGTCACTACTTCTAAGACGTCTCATTCGTTTTTAGCACACTTTTAAACCAGAAATAGTGTTCGTAAATTATAATATCCATGTGTTGGTGGGGCCCTAAGAAGAGGACAAAATGCCAGAAGACCAGAGGGCGGGTCGGCGGACCGACCTCATTAGGCCTCGCGGCCTCGGAGAGGTGGTGCTCTTGCATGAAGCAAAGAATTTAATACTTTACGCCAAAAATGGAATGAGAGGCTACTATTGAGATTTGATAAGAGATTGGCCAGCTCATAGCAAAAACAAAAACAAACAAGCTGAGCAAACCAACCGATCAAATCTACAAAGCGCTTGGCATGAGTAGGTAAAGGGCTTGTGCTCCATTAGCATTGAAAAGGTTCGAGACTAGAAGTGAATGTAAAATTACTTTGGACTACCCACATCTTCATTAGAAAGTGTGCAATTTTTACTGAATCAGTGGACGGGAGAAAGACTCTGGCAATGGGCATTCCTTCTTCCCCTCCTACTTTTTCCTCCTTCTCCTGCTCCTCTCCTTCTTCTTTTTCTTCATCTTTTTCAACCTCCTCCTCCTACTACTTCTCCTCTTCCTCCGCCTCTTCTTCTTCTTCTTCTGTCTCCTCCCACTCCTGTTTTTCCGCCTCCGCCCCTGCTTCTAATTCTTCTTCTTCTTCTTCTTCTTCTTCTTCTACTACTACTTTTTCTTCTGCTTCTTTTTCTTCTTATACTTTTTCTACTACTACTACCACTACTACTACTACTACTACTACTACTACCGCCACCACCACCACCCTCATCACCACTACTACCACTACTGCTACTACAACGATGAATATGACAAAACGAGGTGGTTGATAGCTCTTGTTTCATTGGGGGGGGGGGGGGAAGGGAATAGGGAGTGAAAGAAGGGGGAAAGTGAATATTGATCTTTCTATAATTTTTTTTTTAATCCTCACTTCTAACCAATCACCAGTTGATTTTACCTCCATTTTTTTATTTCAACAGTGCCAAACATCAGGGGCACTTTAACAATGTGGCTTAGATCTCTTGATTCTCAGGTCCAGAAAACTAGCGGGACGGTTTTAGAGGCATCTATAGAAAATGTGTGATCGGCCTAAAGCGGTATCCTTAACCATGTAAAAACTTTACTCTTTTTAAGTTAGTTAGTTGCGATTCCTTTACAGGACGTTGCAGAACCAACCCCAACAGCCCCTGGCTGTTGTGTGTTTTTTATAAGCAAATTTACGTCAATTAGTTTGCCAGTGCTGACTGGACGGTCGGCTTTCTTGATACCACTGTTGAAACCAACGCAAGGCGCATGGCCCGCAGCTGGGATCGAACCCGGCATCCCTGCATTACGAAGCGTTCGCATCGACTTAGCCACAGAACCGACATTCTTTTTAAGTATTACATTTTTTTTTTAACAATTATTTTTTTTAATTATTTTTACGCCGTCTGACAAAGCTTAAACAGCTTGAACGTCCAACCCCGGGCCACAGAATATATAAGGACGATTAGCCCAGAGCTCCCCCCCCCCCCCCCCTCAAACTTTTTCCTCGCTTTCTTTTTTGTCAGATGGAAATTATTTTTTCCCCTCGACATTTCGCTTGCAGATTGCCAGGAGATCCCCGTGGATTCCATCCACTGGAGCGACACTCAAGCCGTTGTCAGTATTACTGTGGGGAGCCTGGGTGTCTGCAGCACGTTGTGGGTGCTAGTGATTTTCATCAGACACCACAACACAGCCGTGGTTAAAGCCTCGACCAGGGAGCTCAGTTACATAATCCTGGTGGGAATTTGCCTGGCCTTCAGCTCAAACTTCATCCTCGTGTCGAAGCCAGCGAAGGAAGTTTGCTATCTGACCAGGTGAGTGTCAAGACTCTTCTTCCTAAGTGTTGGATATTCTATGTGGTTTTTGTTGGCACATAAACCTAGCAACTACTTTACGACCAGGACACTCCCATAAAGGCTCCATCCCCATCTTCAGCAGCGAGTGAAGAGTTCCAAGTCTGATGGTACCAGTAACTGTCTGATTGTACAGCCGTCTTGCCTTTCCCTTGAGTGTTGAGCGTCGGTCAGATCCCCCTGGTAACTTCCCGCAGCGCTATTCTCTTCGGACCGTAATTATTCATTGGTATCCCAACACTGTTCACGCACTTCCAGAGGGCCTCACAAAGTCTAGAATGCCATTCATCGGTACACCACTAAGTGGTGCAGAACCGGCCAGTCTATCTGTCTGTTTCTCAACACACCTTCTTGACCTGGAGGAAATATCCAAAAGACGCTAACTACCCAGGACCTCTGAAGCGATGCTTGCACTTTGCACTCTGGCGGATTTGGTATGAAGTGGAAGTACGGTAACCTGATTACGTGATTATACATATATGGTTCCTTTATAAATGTGCATATGTGCTTGTAATATGTTATTATCCCTTACTCAGAATCCTACCTGGCTTAAGTTTTTCCTTGATGTACGGTGCCCTGGTTACGCGGACAAATAGAATCGCCAGAATTCTGGAAGGCAGCAAAAGAATTATGACCAAGAAACCCAAGTTTATGAGTGCTACTGCACAGGTGTGTTGATGTGTTGTGGTCGCAGTTAACGCTGTTTTGTCTTGTCTGTCTATTCACTGGCTGATGTAAAATAATTGATGTGGTTACTTCATGGTCTTCCTTCTCCTTTCCCCTAATCACCCTTCTTCTCTTCGTATTCTTCTTCTTCTTTTTCTCCTCCTTTTCCTCCAGCTTCACTCCTTTTTTTTCTTCTTCTTCTTCTTCTTCATCCTGCTCATCTTCTTCTTCTTCTTCCTCCTCCTCCTCGTGCTTCTTTCCTTCTTCTTATTCTTCTTCTTCTTCTTTCTGCTCTTCTCCTTGTTTTTTCTTCTTCTTTATTTTGCTCCTTTCCTTCTTCTTCTCCTCCTCCTACTCATGTCCTTCTTCTTCTTCTTCTTTTCCTTCTGTTCCTCTTCTTCTTCCTCCTTCCCTACTCCTCCTCCTCCTCTTCTTCTTCATCTTCTTCCTCCTCCACCACCACATACTCCTTCTTCTCTTCTTACTGCTTCTCTTATTATTATTATTATTATTATTATTATTATTATTATTATTATTATTATTATTATTATTATTATTATTATTATTATTATTCCTTCTCCTCCTCCTCTACCTCCTACTCCTTCTTCTCTTCTTCCTCCTCCCATACTACTTCTTTTTCTACTACTAATAATTCTGCTTTCACCACCACAACTACTACTACTACTACTACTACTACTACTACTACTACTACTACTACTACTACTACTACTACTACTACTACTACTACTACTACTACTACTACTACTACTACTACTACTCATCATGTAGCAGGTCCTTTGCAGAACGTCGCTCTCATCACAGTCTGAAAGAAACTCGGTCTCTCGCCAGTTCTCCTGCCTCATGTACTTTCACACTCAAGGAGTCACTTATATCCTGTGCCTATCTTCGTGTTGGTCGGCCCCTGCCCCTCCTTCCTGGTACCATGCCTTCTGCTATAATTTGTTCCAATCCGTCGTGGCGCGTGATATGACCAAAATATTTCAGCTTTAGAGAAATAATGCTGTTTATTAGGTTTTATTTTTGGCTTCCATGATGAGTTTCTTGTGATAGGAATGTGGTAGTTTCCCGTTGCTTTCCACATCCACATGGCTTTAGACCATGTCCTCAGCCTTCAGCAACCTTTTCGATTGCTAGGGCAAGTGAGTGCCCTGCTCTGTGATGCTCCCGCTAACAGCAAAGGGCACCCCAGAGGTGTCCACTTATCCCGGCGGATACTCGGTCCCCATAGCTACGTTGGCCAAACCACAGTGTGTTTACCGTCCTTTGCCGCGTGGAGGTGCAGTTGGGGTTTTCCCTTCACTAAGTCTTGAGAGACCAGAATGGCATTTCCCTAAACTCTCCAGTATTTTCAGAGGACACTACTACTACTACTACTACTACTACTACTACTACTACTACTACTACTACTACTACTACTACTACTACTACTACTACTACTACTACTACTACTACTACTACTACTACTACTACTACTATTACTACTACTATTACTACTACTACTACTACTACTACTACTACTACTACTACTACTACTACTACTACTACTACTACTACTACTACTACTACTACTACTACTACTACTACTACTACTACTACTACTACTACTACTATTCTTCTTCTTTTTCTTCATCTACTGTTTCTACCCTGAAATATATCTCTTTATTTATAAAAACATCTCCAGGATTTTTCATTCCTCCTTCAATCGATCGTTCACTAGTTTGCTCAAGAAGCGGCTGGCCGAGTGG